ATAGTAGCAAGGGGTGAGTACCAAATCATACGGTACCCAGCAAGTAAACTTCTAAAAACATGTTAAGAGAATAAAATACGGATATTCCTTACACACCAACCGAACCTCCACAACTACAACCTGCATAAAATAAATCCAACCTAACAGTTCACAACTTTCATGGCATCCAACTCTTCAAAATCATTTTAACAAATTACACATCGTTAACTACAACTCATATTTAAAAATCACAAACTTTCACAAAAGGAACTCACAATATCAGCAACACACAAGATCAAGTTCGTCAAATAGAGGTAATCAAATATCAAGTACTTTCCAACAATCAATAAAACACATAATCATCAAGAATGAAGAATGTCATAGATGCAATGCAATATGACACCATGAAGTGATATGCCTCAGAATACCAATCTCTCTCTCAGTCGTATATACATGATACTCCTCGGAAACACATCGAGAGTTCATGATCCATGGGGGACTCGCGAGGTCCATATACCTACATGGACGATCTCCATGTGTTTGTGCGGACGATCTCAACGCACTATCATAAATTAAATAAATTCCGCACGGACGATATCCACGTGCCCAATCATAATCATAACTTTCTATCGCAAGGACGATCTCCACGTGCCCAAATAATCATAATTCGATCTCAACAAGAACGATCTCCACGTGTTAGACCTTTACTCATACTCAATCTCATGTCAATGCTTGTACATAATATGACATCAAGTAAAGGAGATGATGCAACATCTCAATAAATCAAATGTTTCTATGACATATAATCACCTCAATTATCACAATTTTACGGGTTCAGTAAAGAACACAATCACACATAATAAATCAAATTAATAATATATCAACTAATGCACATATGCTTTGGCATTCTTGGATTACAATCCACATTCTATAGTAATAAACTTTTCCATTATAACACCGGTACTCTTACCATTCTCAACATATCACATACAAACAAATAATCACATTCTCTTTTATTACCCCTTTTTATCATTAGAATTAATCAACGTGGACAAGTCAACCCATAGCCAAATCTCATTACTCCCAAACATATACCACAAGGAAATACACGCATTTCATACACTTAGCAAGAGAATCCACTTTCCTCAATCAATCAAGAATTTACTCCGATAGTTGAGCCTTCCCTTTTTGTTGAACTTCCAACTCAAAGCAATCTATTCAAACAAATGACCATAATAAGATTTCAAAACTAACAAACCCCATATTATTATGCCTATACCCATAAACTCACTCCAATCTATGTCACGTTCCTAATTTTGATGTCAATTAATACTTCAACTCTCACAGTTCTCAATTCAAGCCTAAGGTTAAGACTACAACCTTAAAAGCTTTCATATAATATAATTCATCCGATATTTAATTACCTATCTCAATATATCAAAACTTGAATTATAATGTAATAATTACAAAATATTCGAAATCAAACAAACTTACAAAATCAACACTAAACCGTAACTAATATGTGCTCGTGGACTAATTTTAGAAAGAATATTATCAGTGCATCTATTCAATAATCACATCCCCTGATCACTAGTCATAATTTACCTAAAGACGTAGTCCCAGTTCTTGTTAGCAGTAACCCATAAAACAATATTTATACATAAATTTAAAACACCAATTTTGGAAAAACTTAAATATCAACTCACTACACTCGTAGATACTCACTATAATTTAACATAATTTTTTTGCTATCTAAAACTTACAAATTATTAGCTATCAATATGTCAAAATATTTTCCACTCAAACTTATCCTCTAAAGACCAAATTCCAGTGAAATACATAATTTAAATATTCAATACGTTTCCTCCCATCAGAATTAACGTCATACACATGATTATTAGTGGGAAAAGTTTGTTCACCAATTGGACTATTTGATTTTTAATTCTTTCACTTGCAATATGTATAAAATTATCACAAAATTTTAGTTACATTTCTTACCTGAAGGAACAGGATTCACTTTTCGTCCTCTGTTGAATGTCTTGAATCGGACCCGTTACAAACAGAAAGGACGGGGGTTAGCACTATATATATATAGACGCTATGGCAAACCCTATTTTTGCAATTCTGTTTTTGCCTCTCCATAATAAAACTGCTCTCTCTCTTCCCGTGGACGTAGCCAATTTATTGGTGAACCACGTAAATCTGTTGTCTTGTTTTTCGCGTTTATATATTTTCTCGTATTATCTCAAATTCTGCACAACATCCTCTTTTTACTTCGTGACATGGTGCTGCACTAACTATACGGTTCTGTCTCAGTTTAGGTTCTTAATGTATTTTACGTGGGTCACTAAATGAATTATGGACTTGACCTATTAATCAACAACTAAATAAATAAATTATTTAATTAATATCTATCAATTAAATAATCGTATTTATCAAAAAGTTCAAAATTCTTAAAATCAACTTCATCTATTGATCATTAATCACTCGAGGCAACTATTGGGAGGGGTAAAATGGTCATTTTATAAAAATTACAAAAACGACCTTACAGGTCGTTACACCTCTAAGTTCAACATGGACGTTAGGACAAGATCCTTGATGTCCTAAAGTAAATATTGAAATGAAAAAGGGGACTTTTTGGAATGCAAGGAGGAGCCACAAAAATAGGAAGTGCAAAGTGATCTTAACGATGCGCATATTCATGATCTTAAACACATGCAGTTGTATTACAAAAAGATGCAGGTTGAATGACATCTATACATTGAATGTACGAATATGTAATATAGTTAAAGCGAAATGACATAATGAAAGGACTGCAATTGATATGAATACATACTCAACTGAATGTAAAGAAATAAAGGAGTGAAATTATTTAAACTTTACAAAATACTTAATCATGTATGAACTCAACATATTAAGTGTTATGCTAAAATATACATTTAAATCTATTTGGGAGATTTGCTAATCGAAAATAATCACTATGAGTAACCTGATGATACAATGTCTCTTCCACACATCCAAAATTGTCCTGTACCTTGGCGGGATATAGAACATTTCATCTAAGTGGATTCACTAAAGCTCTCTCGAAAATAATGAGTTATCTAAAAATAATGATCCTTTACGCATGTTGGCTAATGGCTACAAGGTTTATGAGAAATGTGAGTTGTCTGAACTTACACCCATATCGGTGTACAACACTACTCCCAATAAATATATATTCATGCTTAAATGTACAAAGCTTGCTCTTTCTCAATTTGAGGTAATTGCTCAAAATATCCTATTAAAAGTGGTAACTGCTATGAAATAGCAATGAACTCATTAACTATTTTGAAATCAAAAATTTTCTTTTCTCAATGTAAAAAATTATTTGGGAATACTTAGTTCCCTTATACTCTTACTCAAATCATATTTAAAACCCTTTCTCAAAATCATCTTTGCTTTCTCACAAGATCAATTTAAGACAAAAATATTTGCTTTAAAAGAATCTCCAAAATTATAACTCAAAATAGTGTTGATGGTGTAATATATACATGAACCAATCAATTCAAGGATCTCAATAAAAATACAAAGACTCAACACTCAGAAATCAAGAAATCAGATTTCAACTATACTAATCATCTCATATTTACTCAAAATCTTGGATAAAACTCTAGACTACTCTTAGACTGAATTTAGATAGATGTAGGGCGTGGAGACGAATTTAGTCTATCACTATGATAATCTTACATACTTGGAAGAACAAACTTCTTGGTGAAACTGGAAGTACGATTGAAAACTGTATTTTTCTCCTCTTGGATCCTTGCTAAGATTTGGAAGTTTTAGTGAGAGTATTAGGGTCAACTAATACTATTTAGAACCTTAATTAGGTGTAAAAATGTTTTGGTTTGCTGAAGAAACAACTTAAAATGGGTGAGAAAAGACTAAATTACCCTCCAAAAGTTGATGAAAACCTTTCATGAGGTCATCTACGATTTTTGGTTGTCTATACGGATCATAGATCCCAAATGTGGATTTCATACTAAATTTTAAGGCTCAAAATTTCATTGTACGGATCTAAATGACAACCCGTAGAAGTTTTCACGAATAGTAAAACCAATCCATATAATTTATATTAAATTTTAAGTCTCAAAATTTCATTTTACGGGTCAAAACGACCCCCCGTAGAAGTTTCCACGGCCCGTAGATCCAATCTGTTGAATTTATATATTGAATATTAAGGCCCGAAAACTTATTCTATAGGTCCACACTGTGGCTTGTAGAAGGTTTTAAGACTCGAAGATGGATTCTTATGAATCAAAGTCCAAAATTAGACTCTCTGAAATGTATTCACGACTTAACAGTATGGATCGTGGATTGAATTACTGACTCATAGAAGGGTTTTGTAGTTCACAGACTTAGAAAACTTTGATGTAGTAGTCTTTGAACTCGAAATAAGGCAATTTTAATTAGTTGAGTTAAAAAGAGGACTCATACACCTTCAATGTGATAGGTCATGTGACACATAATTTATTATGTGTCGAAAGATATGATTATTTGAAGTTTACCTACGTGAAATCTTATGTCAAAACTTAATCGGTTAGTAAACTTTAAACTTAACTTTGTGCTGGGATTCTTGTGAGCTTAATTCATTTCCAAATTCATCCCACACCAAAAAATATTGACCTTTACACCTAAGAGAAATTTAAGAATAAGCCGGTACAACCTTACACACAACGGTTCGGGCCTTAGCTTGGAAATTCTCGAAGTGTTACAATGTACACCTCATCTAGTTATCTTTTTCGGACTATACTTATGAAATTACACTGAATATATTATTGTTATGATTGTTGTTTGAGATGAGTGTTCAATTATTATTATTTTTAATCTTTCATATAACACGTACAAAGGGGACAATTATGTAAATATGTTGGAAAGAAAATTAGTTAAGTTTAACCTCAATTGGCGGTTTACCAATTGTAGTAATAATTAATGGAATGGTAGATATGAGTCTTTTTCCCACAACTTTCTCCATGTTGTAACTGTCAATGCCCTCCTTATTATCCATTTTCTCTCTTGAAATAATACGTATAATTAGTACTCTAATCACTTTCTTAATTCACATCAATATCCTTTTGGCTTGTAATTTGCACAAGAAGAACACTATATTGTTTACCCTAATTATTAAAGAAAAATGTCAAAGGAAAAGGAAAGAGAAACTCATGTTTACACAGCCAAGCTCGCGGAACAAGCTGAACGTTATGATGGTAATTCTTTTTCCTCTGTTTGTTTTAGATCACAAGTTTCAATTATTAATTTTTTTGTTTTCTTTAACTCCGTGACAATAATATAGATTGAGACGGAGGGAATAACATGAATAAAATCATCTACATATTACTATGTATAAAGTTTCTCCTTTTTATTTTCTTTTGATACATCCTTTTTCTCCCTTACATTGTAGTTCTACTTGTGCTAGAATAGTGTGTGATCAATTTTTTGAAGAATTTGTACTTGTTCTTGAGAGAGAAGATATTGTTTCCATACTGATGAGTTTCAAGTGTGTCAAATCCAATCCCTTTTTCTTATATCAGTATTCTCCTCTTGATCAATATTTTTTCCTCGAAATGCTTCAAATCTCAAAGATACACTTATATTATAATAAGGTCCCCGAATTTATTTTATAAATAACTTTCTACCTACGTGGCATATCTTCTGGGTACAACGTATGTTAACAATTTTTTCAATGATAGTGTCACATAGGTCAAAATAGGTATAAAATTATTTGTAAAATAAGTGCGGGATGATAGTACCTTAGTAAGTATAAGCATGTCTCTGGATTTCGGGCATAGGTTGGGGTTACATGTGCATTTTCCCCCATAAATTTTTCACATAATGTATCTTAATTTAGACATACAACTTTAGTTTAGATATTTGAATTCTTTTTCGGCAAATCCTGCAACTAGATCGATACTCCAAATCATAAAAAATTTAAATCATGAAACATCTGACCTCTAGATCCGAGCAATTTAGAGGCAAAGTGTCAAGTAAGTTGGCTTGGTTCTTTTATTGGGGTTAAAGGCATGTAAGTTGCTTGGTTAAGTTTGATATTATGCATCGTGTAAAGAATTTTTATATTATCATTATATTTTTATACCTATTTCACTTCTTGTGAGAATGTAATAAGCCGAGTTGATTTCTTAGCTTCCTCAACTAATAGTTATTACCATAAATTAACTTTCTTTATTGAAGAAAGTTCATCAACAAGAAAGGCAAGTTTATGAGATAATAATTGTTGATTGAGTGATAACCGTGATTTCACATTCATCTCATCTCATTAATGGGGAGTGAGATGTAGTTAATGTCTTCGCATTGCACCATTATAGTGTTTGATAACTTCATATTACCATTTATTATTTCTCAGAAATGGTTGAGAGTATGAAGAAAGTTGCAAAACTGGATGCTGAACTGACAGTGGAGGAAAGGAACTTGCTTTCTGTTGGTTACAAGAATGTAATTGGAGCTCGAAGGGCTTCGTGGCGTATCATGTCTTCCATCGAGCAGAAGGAAGAGTCGAAAGGGAACGAGAACAATGTCAAGCTGATTAAGGGATACAGGCAGAAAGTAGAAGAGGAGCTCTCCAAGATTTGCCATGATATTCTTGAAATCATAGACAAACATCTCATTCCATCATCTGGCACCGGTGAAGCTACCGTCTTTTATTACAAAATGTAAGTCAAATGCATAACAACAACAACCCTTTCTACCTGTTTTTGTTAATCAAAATGGTCCATAACAAGCTTGTGATCCTGTTCTGAGGTTCTTCATGACTTTTAGAGTCATCTGTCCTGTCCCTACACTTTGCCAGTCAAATTTTGCATCTCGGTAGGGGCACACGGAGTTTTAGTGAGACTCTAAGTCCGTGACACATCACTGTGCTGTGTTCAGCCTGTTCTCTAAGAACCTTTGGGAGGTGTAGGGAGTGTGACAACGTACACACTTCCTTAGCTCCCTTTACTCCGTTGGGCCTTCTCATTAGTTGCAGAGTTTGGTACCCCTCATTCCTAAAGGTCCGGAGTTTTGCCCATTCTACCCGAAGTTCTGACCTGATATCCAAAGAAGGGCAGAGTTTAACAGCTTTTTCGACTCTCTTTCATGTGGAGGAATGAGGCCAGGCACCTCCGGCCTGTGTTTATTACAATTCTTGCATTACAATCCATACGTATATGACTTATTTTTTTGTTTGTCTGGTTCAGGAAAGGCGATTATTTTCGTTACCTTGCTGAGTTCAAGACTGATCAGGAAAAGAAAGAGGCTTCTGAACTATCATTGAAAGGCTACGAGGCAAGTTATCTTACAAATATCTTTACACTGTCAGCGTATATAACTTAAAGTGCGCACATTTGAAAGTTCTCTTGATATGTTTTCTTCAGGCTGCTACTGCCACTGCAAACTCTGATCTCCCTTCAACACATCCGATCAGGCTCGGTCTTGCTTTGAACTACTCTGTGTTCTACTATGAGATCATGAATTCCCCCGAAAGGTAAAGTTCAAGACAGATGAATTAATACCTGCAGACTATGTATATTTCTTGTCCTCTGGATGATGTTACGTTGTAGATTAACAATTTCCAAAATGCAGGGCTTGTCACTTGGCTAAACAAGCTTTCGACGAGGCAATAGCAGAGTTGGACACTTTGAGTGAAGAATCATACAAAGACAGTACCTTAATCATGCAGCTGTTGAGAGACAATCTCACACTATGGACCTCTGATTTGCCCGAAGACGGAGGTAAAAATCATTTAAATGTTTGTTTCAGGATTTAGTCCTGATTATCAAGAGCTGGAATCCCGAACCCATAAACTTTAAATCCTGGCTCCGCCTTTGTGGATAGCACATTGTAGCTTCAAATATTGACTCCGCCTTGTTTAGATAACTATATTGAACATTACTGTTTGTGCAGCTGAAGAGAATTCGAAAGCTGATGAACCGAAATCAGCAGAACCTCCTAAAAAAACAGAAGAAGCACCTCAAAAAACAGAAGATCCACCTCAAGTGAGTATTCAACTTGATCCATAACTCAATTTTAAAGGGCGGAATCGCCCTAAACTTGACACGTTTTATTCAGTGCACACCCAAACTTTGTCTAGTCCTTTTTTATCGTGACGTTGACTTTTTGTGCTTTGACAGAACTGATGGAGGCACAAGGAGAGCAATTCCTCCAATACAAGAAGATGCATTTTGTAATTTGATGGATACATTTTCATTTTTTTCCTCTTTATTTATGTTCTTTGGTGGAAAATTGTTATTTTTGCGAATGAGTTTAAGTCTTGTTAGATACATGATTTTGTCAAGGGACTAAGTAAGTCTCTTGAGATTATGAGTCAATTGAAGGACAATGAAAGATGATTTTGATCTAGTACTCCTATGTTAGTATTACTTATTGTTGTAATTGGACAAATTTGTGCTAATGAAGAACAAAGATGAAAATGGATACTAAAAACAAAACTAAAACCTATGTGAAGAATTACATAAAATAGTTATGGGATGAAATTGTAGTGCCACTTAATTTGTCGTTTGATTGGTAAGTACGATATAACTTATCCCCGCAATTAATAATTAGTATCACTATAAGTTATCCATTCTCGTATAGTAATCCCGAAATAACTTATCCCACGATAAAATAAGTATGACAAAAATTATTCTTTTACACCTTTTTAATACATACTTTTGTAAGCAAATAAATTGTTCTTAAAATATATGCTAAGCCTATTATTTGAATACAACAGTCAACAAACAAAACACTTAATAAATAATATCAATGTATCTTATCTCATTATAACTAATCCTATCATAGTTTATCTCATCATAACTAATCCCATCACAACTTGAATTCAAACCAATCGACTAAGTGAAAAGCATATTAACATATACGAGTAGTTAAGAAGATGTTAAACATTTTAATAATATAGGGCCCGTTTGGATGGGCTTAATAAAAGTAGCTTTAAAAAAGTACTTTTGAAAGTGCTGAAACTTATTTTTAAAATAAGCAGTTATGCGTTTGGATAAAAGTGTTGAAGTTAAAAAAAAAGTTGTTGATGTGTTTGGCAAATAAGTGCTGATAAACAGATTTTTAAATCAAAATGTCTGAAATACCCTTAAAAGCTGTTAACATAATAAAAATTAATTAATTTTTATTTTACAGCCATAAATAATTATATTTTGCTATCATTCACATATTTCTTTCTCATCACAAATTATTTATAAGAGGAATATAAACTTATTATAGATTTTAAAGATATATAATTTGAATAGATTAAAGAATGATTTAAGATTTTATTTTAGTTTTATTCATAGGTAATAATAATTGTCTATCATTCACATATTTCTTTATTATCACAAATTATTTATAAGAGGAATATAATTTTTTATTTAAGTTATATGTGTAACTTATTTTACATTTTAATAATATATAATTTGAATAGATCACTTGAAAGATTTAAGATTTATTTTATTTTCATTCATTAGTAATAGTAATTGTCTATCATCCACACGTGAAAAGGGAAAAATATAAGAAAGAGATGTTATGGTTATGGGGGTAATTTGGAGATTGTATAAAAATATTAAGGGCAAAAAGGTAAAAATGTGGTCAACTTAAAACAGCTTATAAGCTGGAAAAAAAAAAAGCACCCCTAACCCAGCTTTTAACTTTTGGCTTAAAATATTTTTTTTTTAAACTTAAAATAAGTTATTTTGAGTATTGTCAAACAGCTAAATAAGTCAAAAACCAGCTTTTAAGTTAGTTTGACCATCTTTTAAGCTGAGCCAAACAGGCTCATAATAGTATGAACTATGATAGTTATAACCAGGGGCGGACCTACGTGAACTCCCTTGTCGAAAAATTACACCGTATATATAAAGTTAACTTCTTCTGTTAACCCCTTAACAACTAATAGAGAAGTGTGGCTCACTGGCAAGGGTGTTCATTATTAAGCCCCAAGGTTTGGGTACGATTCTCGTTGAGTGCAAAAGGTTTATATCTTTTCTCAACCTTGAAAAGGTTGAGATAGGCTTAGGTTTTGGGCTTAGAATACCCAATAAAAGGCCTCATTATTTTTTGAAGTCACTCTAAAACTATATTTTTTTTGTTTTTTTGTTCTTTATATGTTATATCTTTTATGCAATAAGTCTTTGTTTTAAGTTTATTAGCCTTGTCTTTTTATAATTTTGTCTTTTGTTCTTCTTATTTATATTTTTCATTTTATTTCTACATAACTCTTCTCATTAATAACTCAAAGAAACGTTTTGAGAAAATGATGAATTGTTATTAAATTTAAATTAGAAATTATTATATAAATAAAGTAAATTATGTTATAAATACATTGAATTAAGTGGATTGTCCATTAAGCTTATCATAAACTTATCCTTATCGTGGATATGTATTCCCAAGGTGATGAATCTTTTTGGGATAGAAATGTATCTACTAATGTGACATTAAACATGGTGACCTTTTGATTGATTTCTCTACCTATAAATAGAGATAACACTCACCATTGTAATATACACTTGAATAAGAAGAAAATTCCTCTTCTTCTATCTAGTTCTCTTGTCTTTTTCTCTTTATGATTATATTCTTATGAGCTTGATTTTATAACACGTTATCAGCACGAGTCTCTAACCAATTAAGATTGAGTTTTAGTTTTTCTTTAACTCATGTTTTGGTTGGTCTCGTTATGAGAATCAAGGTATTATATTCATAAAATTAGGTATGTATATTCTAAAATATTTTTATGATTTAGAATACAATAGTATTCAATCACTAACAATTATGAGGAACCAAAGGTATATACAACTATTGGTTGAATATGACATGCTATACAAAACTTCTTAAATGGAAGAAGGTATAAATTTTTAATAGCATGAGTTTGAATATTATTTTGATTATTTTGAAAGACTCAAAGGGTGAGTCATGTTGTACTGCGGTCTATTATATTGTTGGTTAAGGGTAAGACGATGAAGTCAAGCCATCGCACCAAAATGGTAGACATCTGGTTAAAGTCCGGATGACATAAAAAAAATTAATGGTAAGACGGCAGATTCAAGTTCTATCGCACCAAGAGGATAAGACATCAAATCTGAGTTTTGATGCACCATGATGATAAGGATTGGGTTCAAGTCCTTTAGAATTTGACCTAGCACGCCTTGTATGGATAAGACATTGAGTTTGAGTCAATGCACCATAGTGATTAAATAATGATGACTAAGGTTTTGATGAAAAACCTTGAAATTTGTCATATTGAACTTGCTCCATTCCTTGAAAAGAATGTGATAGAAACATATGATAACTTTGAAATCCGATGCTGACTTGCTCCATTCTATCGTATAAATGTGGTAGCAGTAAATAATTAGTCTGAAAGATGACAAATGATTAACGATATGAAAAAGGGCATGAAGGGACGGAATTATAATAGTCATCATTGTGGTAATTATAAAAGAAAGAACACTATGGGTTTTCCAAATAGTCCTTCGAAATTTGAAGGCAGTTTTCATTATCAGGAACCGAAGACATATACTACTATTGGTTGAATATGACATGCTATACAAAATTTCTTAAATAGAAGAAGGTATAAATTTTAATAGCATGAATTTGAATGTTATTTTGATTGTTTTGAAAGACTCAAAGGGTGAGTCATGTTGTACTTCGATTTATTATACCGTTGGTTAAGGGTAAGATGATGGATTCAAGTTTCATCGCACCAAAAGGGTAAGACATCAGGTTAAAGTCCGGATGTACCATAATAAAAATATTTGAGGATAAGATGAACAATTCAAGTTCTATCGCACCAAAAGGGTAAGACATCAATTTGAGTTTTGATGCACCGTGATTGGGTTCAAGACCCATAGATTTATGGCATAACACGCCTTATATGGATAAGACATTGAGTTTGAGTCAATGCACCAAAGTGATGATATAATGATGACTAAGGCTTTGATGAAAAGTCTTGAAATTCGTCCTATTGAATTTGCTCCATTCCTTGAAAAGAATGTGGTAGCAATATATGATAATTTTAAAATCGCATGTTCATTTGCTCCGTTCTATCATATGAATGTGGTAGCAGTAAATAGTTAGTCTGAAAGATGACAAATAATTAACAATATGAAAAAGAGCATGAAGGGACGTAATTATAATAGTCATTATTGTGGTAATTATAAAAGGAAGAACACTATGGGTTTTCCAAATAGTCCTTCGAAATGTGAAGGCACTTTTCATTATCAAAATGGTATGAAAGGACATTGGACTTGTGAATGTTGTCGACCCAATAATTTATAAATCCTCCATCAAAAGACAAGAAGATAAAGTGATGGTACACTTGATCTTTCAAAGTGATGTTGAAGTGTATCATGGAAATATGATGAATTTTAAAGCCATGACAATGTGCTTATAATGCAAATTTATGAAGTACATATAAATGATTAGTCAATTTCTTGAAGAGAATGTGACTTGTGATGAGTATCGTGAATGCTCGACCATGCTATAAGAGAATTGATCCATATGTGATAAAATCATTATGAGTTGGATATATGACACAACTCACCTCTATGGAAGGTTTGACAAAAAATGATATATGCCATAACTCTCCTGTAGGAGGTTTAAGAAAAAATGATAAATGTCAAAACTCACCTCTACGGGAGGTTTGAGAGGAAATAAACTTTATTTGGCAGAAATGGCTAATCATATTGTACGTTTATACGTCATTATGGTATGTTTATTGTGAACAACCGAAAGGGAAAAAGAAAGAAATAGTTCTTGCCTATAAGGGTTGTGGTAATTATTGTGTGGCAATACAAATTTGTCATTGGTTGTGTACCTATGGTACAACAAAAGTAAAGCTAGAAACATGTCTTGCTCGTAATGTTTTGACCATGACAATAATGATATAATTTCTCCTTGAATGAGATGCTCACAATAGAGATTGTGTCATGCAATATGTGATAGTACACAAAATTAATAGCAATCTCTAACGAGTTGTGTTATTATCAGAGGAATAATAATGGGGTTGTAGTAAGTCTCAAAAGAAATATATTTAAATTTCGGATGAATTAAAAATAAATATCGAGACTATAAATCACTACAACCGAATGAGTTATAAATATTTCTTTTAAAGGTTACCCATTGTTTCCTCTTGTTTGTCGCACACAAACGTGGGCATGTTGATGAAATCACATGCGAAAGTAAATTATAAGTGTACTAAAATAAAGATCAGTTAGCATGACTGGTTGACCATTCTGAATAAATGTGATGCAAACGTAATTGAGAATTCAGGTGAAATATATGATGAAGAAATAAAGATTCTTCAAAAATTCTCTTGTGTTGCTTGTTCTCTTGATAAAATGATCATTATACCAGCTAAGGTTGGGACT